CGCGCCGCACCGGCGGGGGGCGGGAAGCGAGGGGCGGGGAGTGAGGGGCGGGAGCACGGGGATGTCACCGGCGGGGCGGGGCCGGGCCCTCAGGCGGGACTGGGGCCGCGGGGCCGGAGCGGTGGCGGCGGGCATGGAGCGGGATGGAGCCGCCCGGGGCAGCCCGGGGGGTGTCCCTGCTCGGAGCTCTCCGGTGCCGGCTCCCGGCGGAGCACGGGGCGCTGAGGGCAGTCCGTGCATCGCCTCCTGGAACAGCGCAGAGCCAGCTGCCCGCCCTCTGTCCTCCCCAGGCTGTGACCCCAGTGCAGAGCAGCTGCCCACACCCGAGCCCTTTTAAAGCCATCCTGCTGGGAAAACCACGGGAATTGGGCARAGCAGCCTCAGGGCCCGCACAGGGGCAGGCTCGCCTCCCCCCCAGTGTCTGTGGTGGAAGCTGCGAATCACAAATCTGAAGGTGTCAGGGGTACTGATGCAGTATATTCTGCTATGTGTGTATATATATATTTATGTATATACATGTATACACACACGTACATATGTCCTACAGAAGGATGTCAAACAGTTTTGGGAGGAACATAGCAGAATCAGCTTGAGATTGAAAGATGGGGACACAAGCATGACCGAGGCATCTACAGGCAGCCAACTTTTTGTAATTGCCGTCCTCGTTACGCTACCACCAATGTCATTAAGTGTCATTAGGATTCATTTGGTTTCCTAGGTCTTTCTGATTAATTGAATTACCCAATTAARCAGGCCACAATTAAAAGGAAGATATTGTCATAAAAGCCTTAATTGTCTAACTTCTTTCCTGTTGAGCAGTTCTGAGTGTTCAATACCCCATTAAGAAACCCATCATCCAGCTTCCTCAGCAGTGGGGTTTGGGTATTTTCTCTTCTTTTTTTTTTTTTTTTTTTTTTGTAACATTAGCATCCATTTGCTGTGAGCTTCATTTCAGACAGCTCCAACACTGAGTGGGCATTTCGTTTTGCAAAGCCCATGCACAAGTTTACTTTGCAGAGCTATAGACCAGAGTAGGTGGTGTTTAGCAGATGGAGTTTTTCATAGAAGGTGACTGGCAAAGAGAAAAAAGAAACAAACCCTGCACAATATTTTGTTACCGTGTAAAGAAAAGCCTGATTCTCCAAATAGTTGGCCACATGCTTTGCTTTAACCATATAGACAGTGCCAATCTTCATTTGGATGAATATATTTTTGCTTGTTGGTGATGCTGAAGTGACAGCTCGTTTCTCTCTTTATCTCCACCCTGGTGCTGCTGCAAATGTCAACTGTCTGTCCCCCAGCAATCCAGGCAGGAAACAAATCCCAAATAAAAATTCCTTCATGTCCCACATGAGCTATTTGTGGTGCAGAGCTGTTCCTGGTCCCCTGAGCAGTGTGGTCACAGCAGAGCTGCCCCAGCATGAGGGAGGGGATGCAGTGGGAAGAGCAGCCAGTGATGGGAGCAGGGGCTGCCAGCGCTGGATCTGGAATGTGTGAAACCTCATTGTGCCCTCGGCTTGGCTGAAAAACCCCATGGGACAATTGATCTGGTGGTCCTGGAGCAATTGGTATGGCTTTGGCCAGCAATCTCTGCCTGCTGAGGGCACACTGCAAAAAACAAAGACCACACTATCTACTGTTTTATTATTTCACAAAAGTTGAAAATATCTGCGCCGGGAGATAATRTTACCCTTTTAGAAATAAAAACTCTACTTCAAAAGAAAATGAACCCTTTTCCCTCAAGCTGAGGGCTAAGGAAATTGTCAGCGATCTTTGAACAGTCAGGAAAAATGTAAATGAGAATGTGGTGGCTTTTTTTGTTAAAATGTAAGATGAAAAATCTGGGCCTTCTTTACACAGCAGGTTCAACTTTTCTCCTTTACAAATCACATCCCTCCTTAGAAAAATGAATACTGCCTCTAAATCCCGAGAGAAAAAAAAGAATTTAAAAACTAAAAATAATTTAAGGTGGGATTGAAAACTGGTCTGAAGGAATTCCCTTGCTGGGTTATTAAAAACATGCAGTTATGGGGACTAAAAGCAGAACTAATCTATTCCAATGTAATGCTTCAGGTGCTGAACATCTGATGAATGCAGTCAGATCAAAGCAGTACTAAAGTGGTCCTGGATCTCAGCTGTCAGACACAGCTTGACACAGCAGACAGCGGCCAATTCCAGGCTTTTGGACCTCACTCAGGCACAGGGAGATGTAGCAGCTTCATTTGAGGCTCAGGGCTCCATCCCTGCAAGAAATACTGCAACCTCTGGGCCAGATGCAAGCGGTACTGAGCTCCTGGTGCGTCCTCCTGGGACTATTTTGGTGGCCTGTATCAAAGGAATTGTTCATCAGTTTTAACAAGCAGCTTCAGAGACCCATATGGCCATATTTTTCATTCAAGGAAGGGGTTAGGAGAGCACACAGATCTCAGACAAATGTGTCTATGATCTGGTGGGAATTGCCCTTGGTGCATGCATAGGGAAGCAGGTACTGCTTCTGCCAGACACCCATCTCCAATGGGCTGCAGACACTTCCAATTTCTGCATGTGCTTCCAGCAGCTCTCCTCAAGGCTAAGGAAAAAGGCTGCTGTAACCTTGTTCCCAATGAGTTAAAACTTGCTTTAGTCTCACTTTGAAACACAGGTTCCCAAAGGCTCAGAAGATTCCTGTTTTTTTACAAAGAAGTTCAATGAAGGAAAATATTGACCTGCTCCCAGGGACAACAGAGCCTTCACCAACACAGCTTCTTCCTCCTCTCCCTTGAAACCTCAACATGGAAACCTATACCAAGACTTGTGTATAGCTCCTAACGCTCTCCTGAATTCTTATAAATTATATATTCATAAATGTGTACTTTTGAATATAAATTAGGCTACTGACCTCTCCATGCAGGCTGCAATTTGCCCAAATTAACATGTATCTAAATGCAGGAAGAGAAATTCAGACTTAAAAGARGGAAACACTGGGCCTTATCACCACAAGACAAAGAACTTATACAAGTAAAACCCACAAAGACTGGATTTTTGATGGGATTATGGAACAGACTGGCTGTCAGCAAACATCAMCCCCCTCCCAGGCCCCAAAAAGCTGGAGAAAGGAAGAGTGTGCAGAAGCAGGGAGATGACTCAGAGTCAGAGGGAGTCCTGGCTCCCTGCAGGGCTGGTTGTTGGCACAGCAAATCCACAGCCACAAAAAAACTCTTCATCCACCAGATAACTGTGGGCAGGTGCTGCCAAGCCCCAGATGTTTCCCATTAGCATTGTCTCAGGTGTGGGGTGGTTATAAATGGTCCAGAGGAGGACAGAGAGGCTGTCTGTGGGATATCTGGTAACTTCTTGGGGCACCCTCTGCTTTTACAGGTATGGAAAACATAGGTTTTGGTTTTTTTTTTTGTTTTTTTTTGGTGGGGTTGTTTTTTTTCTTTTGTTTTTTTGGGGGGGTTTTGTTTTGTTTTTTTTTTTTTTCCCTTCTCCTCTGGTTGAGAAATTTAATGTAGGAAAGAGTGAGAGGAGGCTGTGTATGTCATTCTTTAGGATGTGGTTTCCTCGTGTGATGAGAATAGTGGATGTATTGGTGGATGGAGGAGATCTCTTGGAAACTTACTGGGAGAGGCAGGGGCTTCTGAGCTTTATTTCTTTATGCCAATAAGGCAAAAAGCAAAATCTGTTGTAAGGTGAGCAACAGCTGAATGGCTTTGCACCTCTCCATTAACCACTGCTGTCTGATGGCACCCATGAGTGACCACGGTTTCTGTGTATGTGGGACTGGGGAGTGTGGTCAGAAGAGCTGATRCTCTTGATGACCAAGGAAGAAGATATTTTATCTGTAAATAACAGTCTTTATCTCCCTCTGTCCCTCTAACAAAACAGGCCAGTGTCACCTCTACCTGTTCTGTTTCATATGGTAACATGGATGACTGGGACAACAGCAACAAATTCATTCAGCAACTGGACTTTTCCAGTTGTGGYGAAGAGAGTGAAGACAGAAGTATAAATGAGGAGGACTCCCTGAACCTGACCCCTCCCAGAAACTCAGAGTTCCAGAAATGGCAAGAGAGCAGTCCTCTGCCAGCAACCCCTCAGAGGAAGTTTAGTGAGATTTTCCTGAGCAGGACAAAAGCCTGGATGAGTCCTACCCTGAAGTCTTCCCCATCTGTGAGCAAGAGCTGGAGCAAACCTGAGACACCCCTGCACATCACCTGGAAAAAGCTGCAGCTCTGTGACACCCCCCACACTCCTAAGGTAATGGCAGGATAAATGCCTCTATAAATATCTCTATAGGAGATAAATGCATCTCCCTTCAAGAACCTCATTGTTCTGCAGGGGCTTGGAGATAGGCAGCTGCACTCACTGCTCTRTTCAGCACATTTTTGGATGCAAGCGGGTTTTGTCTTGAAATTTGGAAATGGTGTTKTGTCTGGGATGTGTGCTTTGCCTGGCAGGTCTGGATCACCTCCAAGCAGCTCGTTGTCTGGTGACACAGATTTTCTTTTTGTGTGAAACAGCTGCTCAGTGAGTTTGAGGAAAGCAGGGCTTTGTTCTCAGGGTAGCAAATCCCATGTGGAAGGGATAACAAACCARTGTGTGCTTGTGGAGGGAAGTTAGCCTCCCTTCACCTATGTCACTGTCCCAAAATGTAAGTTAGCTACTGAGCTAGTTTTTTGGGACAATGATCCTAGCCCTTACTTTCTCTGTAACTTCTTGGAGAGAGTATAATGCAGCTGCTTTTTGTCTTGAGTAAGCACAGGTGGAGAGTTGGCACCAGTTTCTCTGTAGATCATTTCTGGTGTGTTCATGACTCYGAGCAGCCCAGACCTGCAGTGAAGCAGAGCTGTTGGTCTTCTCTCTGTGCTCCTGCTCTACTGATAGACTGTTTGCTCCTTTGCTTAAGTGGTGCACAGAAGATCAGTCCTTCAGTACTCCTGAGCTAGGATTTGACTTCTCTCCTCCTTCAAAAACGTGATTGTATGGAGAGAGGGATGATCCTCTGGCCTTGCATGATCAACTCTGTGGCAATATTTACAGAGAAATGGCCTGCCACTCTCCAGGGGAAAGCAATCCAAAAGGCATCATGCCAAAAATTTCCTGCAGKGACCCTTTATATGAAATCTCCCTAAATCTCACCTTAGCCTAAGTGAGGAGCTGTCCTGATTTTGGCTGGAGTTCATTTTCTCCCTAGTAATTTGTACTGCACTGTGGTTTTTGGGTTTAGCATAAGGACAATGTTGCTAAAACACGGTTGTTGCTGAGCAGTGTTTACMCARAGTCAAGGACTTTTTGGTTTCCCATGCTCTGCCTGTGAGCAGAAGCACGAGAAGCTGTGTGGCACCATAGCCTGGACAGCTGCCAGGAACAAGCCAGAGGAGATTTCATACCATGGAATGCCATGCTCCGTATATAAACAGAGGGTAATTAGCCAGGAGGGGCTGATTGGGATGGGCTGGACATCAGTCAACAGGTAGTGAGCAATTGTGAATCACTTGTTGGTCWTGGGTTTTATTTCTCTTTTCATTATAGTAACAATTATTATATTATATTTTAATCACTAAATTGTTCTTTTCTTAACCCACATGTTTTACACGTTTTTCCCTGTTTCYCCTTCCCATCCCACAGGAGAAGGGATTGTAACTGTGAGCCAAGGGTTCACAAGCAGAGAGCTTAATTAGTGGCTGGGGTTAAGCCATGATTCAGATCTATAAAAATGTTTTCCAACCCAGATGGGCTGCTGGKAGTGAAGGGTGCTTTCAGGGTGTAGGAGTACCTTGATCTTCGACAGGGAGAGTCCTGAGTTCTTAAAGGGCTTTTAACTAGAGGACAGCACTATGTTAAATAACCCTTTAGACTTTACACCTCTCTCTTGAAGCTGAAACAAGTCAAAACCAAACCTATATTTAAAAAAAAAGCAGGTGGTTACTGAAGGAGGCAAGTCAAAGTGAGTAGATTTTTATGTCTTCAACTCAAGACTGATGTCTATGCTTTCCTTGGCCCAAGGTTCTGGACAAGTAGGTGAAACACAATGGCCTGTGTTCTGTGGGAAGGCGAGCTATAGAAGATCCAGAGGTTCTTTCTCAACTTGAATTTCTGAAACTCTAGTTTTCATTCATGAGGAGAAACGGGTTCTGGTTGCTTTGCTCGTAGCCGTATAAATAATTCTGCTAACTTACCCTATCCTAATGCTGCTTATTGCTGGGKAGCTTGGGTGGTGCTCCAGCTCATCTCCTGAAAAACCTGTCCTGACCAAACTGCTGCAACAGTCCATGCCTGGCAGAACTAGGTCTCCCATGTTCATGCAACACATGAGGCAATTTCTGCCTCTCTGTAGGAGGGAGAGAGGAGCAGCTGGCTCCTCCTGAGGGCTGTGCTTGCCAAAATGGCTCTGCAGACCTCACCCAAGTGAGCAGGGAATAGAATATGAAAGGGCTTAACAAAGAATGAAATGCTTTGTGGCAAATGAAAACTGTGGGAACTAAACTAGGGACACAGGGGTTTAATGATTCAGCTATTCCAAAGAAGGGAGATGAGTTCTCCTCGATTTACAGGAGAATAAGGCTTTTATTCTGACATAGAAGCAATAAAAATGATTGCTGGTTTATTTGCCACTTTTTTTTTTCCTTCTCTCAATACAGAGCCTGTTATCAAAGACAGGTTTTCCTRCATCTGCAACAAAGGTCCCGCCCAAAGGCTTCCGACATCTGAAACTTACTCCTGGTTCTGACTCTGAAGACTCTTCCCAAGCTTCTCTTGTCAACATTAATCCCTTCACACCAGAGTCCTATCGACAAACACTCTTTCTTCCTAATGGCAAACGGAAGAACAGAGGAGAACTGTAAGTGAGCTACTCTTAAATAATAGACTGAAAAGCAAAGTGTTGGAAGGACACAAGGAAGGGAGATGTTCACTATCTGGAGTTTTTTTTGCTAACAATGAATCCTGGCCTTATTTGCTAACAATGAATCATTCACTTCTGTAGTATTCATTGCTGAAGAGCAAATGTTAGCAGACCTATAAAGATAACAGAAATATAAATAAAATCTATCATTGCCCTTGTTCAGAAAGGTAAGTGGGGGATCAACAGCTCACTTTAGTGCTATAGCTGCATCTTCACCAGTAATAGGGATGCCAGGAGAAAGYGGCATTGTCCAGAGGCATCAATGTCCTCTGGGCAGTACTGAAGTTGCTTTCTAAATGGAAACAAAGAATTCCTAACCTGGGGCTGCAATCTTTAAAACCCTGTATATCAACTCCAAGGTACATGATTAAGCATGTGAAGCAAGGTTTGGAGATTCCTTTGAAAGATGTTTTAATTCCAAATCCATTTGGGTCGCTGCACTGAAATGATACACCAGACTTTCCTAAACTTCTGTTGTAGGAATGATCCTGATCCAGGAAGCCAGATGAAACAGGAGCTACCTAGAAATGTGAGTGTCTGTATATTTCTGTCCCATAGAGTGGATAAGATGCTGGTAAAGGCTTGGTGTTTGATGAAATTTGTTCTGTTATTGGAGTATAAACAGGATGAATACCTGTGACAGAATAATTCCAAGCTGAACGTTTTGTTAACATTTATTTGAGATGACAGACTCGGAAAAGGTGGAATTGTTCCTTCTAACTGCGCAACAGCCAGGCTTATGGAAGGATAACGGTACCCTCTAGCCGAGGAGACTGGGATTGCAGGAAAATGGTCTCCATGGAAAACTACACCCGCGGAGCAAATCTGCTCCCAAGCAACATCCAGGGCTGCCACAATTATTGCTTTACCTAGAAGAAAGCCTCAAGTAATTTGTGATTTACCAAAATATTATTCTGCTAGAGTGCTAATTAGATTATGTACTRTAGATATAAACTTGTGTGCTCGGAGGTATTTTACTCCCAAGCTTTTAAAGACAAGGCAGCTGTGTTTTATGCTATGAAATGCAACCTTTTGTGAAGGGCTGCTGCTTCACGTTTTGCTGGTTGTGAGGACCAACTCTTAGCCCTCCTCTGTACGGTCACACACCATAAACTACAGCAATCACAGCAGTCGTTTCTGTGGAAACCACTGTGCAACATGAGCTGCTGTCCCTGCAAGGGATGCAGGAGGGTGGGGAAAAATCACTTAGTCCACTCTTGTTGTTTACTTCATGCTCTGCTGCTTATCTTGTCTTTACTTATTTTCCCTGCCAGTGGGCATCACTCTACCAGCAGTCCCTGCATCCCCAGTGGCCATTATTGTAGCAATAATGATGTTCCAGCTGTTCTGCCAGCTTTCAGCCCTTTGTGGAAAAGTGTCTCTGGGTGAGATATCAGTGGGAATACAAACAAATAGACTGAGACCAGCTAATCTGCCATTAGTCAACAGCTGGTGCTTCAAACCTGGGGAGCCTGAACTGATGCAGAAGGGCCTTGGCTGCAGGCAGCCTCAGCTGCCAGAGTAAAGTGGCTTTTGCATAGCTGGGGTCACAGGAAGCCAACACACCAAGCTCTTCACTTGGGTTCAATACAGGCAATAGAGCTAAGGTTTGCTCAAGTCTTGTCTTTACACCAGTTTTTTCATGATGTTGTTGTTGCTTGCTGCTCATCCCTGACTGACTCCATCAGCTGTGGATTTGGGAACTGTCTGGGTTGTCAAGAGTAGAGATGTGATGGTAGTAACCTAAACAAGCTTAGGCATGTAGAGCCAATTAGACTAAATTTCTCCTCAGCTGCAATTTCTATTTCTATAGCTAACAAGTCCCGATTTTATAAAACCAACCAATCAGCCTCACAATCTGGCCAAACCAGGCCAAGATGGCCTTTGTTAAGTGGTCAGAAAAAGCASAAGTGAAAGGTAATTTTAAAAATTGTCATTTCAAGAACTGGCAACACACCCACACATGTGCCTGGATGAACATCCAGAAGGGGAGAGGGAGCARTGTGGGTGCTCTGTGACAGCAAGTGTTACCCATCTCTAAAACCATGACAGATATGAAGTCTTTGAACTCATCTTTGTCTTTGCTGTTTTTGTGACCTTGCAGAGATACACTCTGAAAGCCAGCAATATGGTTTCCCGCTACAAGAAGGAGTTCCTGGAACTAGAAAAGATTGGTGTGGGGGAATTTGGCTCTGTCTACAAGTGCATCAAACGCCTTGATGGATGTGTTTACGCCATCAAACGCTCCAAAAGGCCTCTGGCAGGATCCTCGGATGAGTGAGTGTGCTAGCTGGAAACTGCCAGTTGAAATGCTGGGCGTGTTCTTGAGAGGTGTGATGGGAAGGAGGGAGTGTGGATCAAAAGGTATCTGATGGGTGGCATGAGCCAAAATTGGCTGCTGTTGCACTTCCAAATAACAGTTGGGAGAGTGGGGGAAGATAGCAGTACACAGCTATTGGATATAAAAGTCTAGGMAAGGAAGAAGGCACATGCATTGCAAAGTGAGATGATGGCAAACCTCAACTCCTTGGGTCCATCCAGACAGTTTCTTCACAGCAACTGCCATGTAGTTTATTTGTGGTGTGTCCCTGCCTTGCTGTATGGCCAGCACYACTCATATCTGTATTGAGCAACTCATGGTGTTCTGTGTGCTAAAGCAAAGTCTTTAAAGCTGCTGATGCCTTTGCCTCTTAAAGTAATCACTGAGSAAATTTTTTTGTTAGACAGCTGCTCAGTGCATCTGAGAGAGGGCAGGTTTTGTTGCAGCAGCTGTGAGAGCCAGTCTGTCTATCAAAACCCAAGAGAAAGGAGTGACAGAGGTGTTCAGGGCCCTGTCTGGGTGCCAAGCAGCCTCTGGAGCCTGTTATCTCTGCGTTTCTGTGCTTCCCCAGGCAGCTGGCCCTGCGAGAGGTTTATGCTCACGCTGTCCTGGGCCACCACCCCCACGTCGTGCGCTACTACTCGGCCTGGGCAGAGGAYGATCACATGATTATCCAAAATGAACACTGCAATGGTAAGAGCTGGGACTCTGTTAAAGCCTGAGATCTCAGACTTTAATAATGTTACCTTCTTTTGTTCTTAATTATGGGATGTTCTGGCTCCAAGAAAGCCAACTGCACTGGGGCTGCATTTCCAAAGAGAATCCAGTATGGGCTCATAATAGATGAAGCTGTGAATGCTGCCAGTGTTTTAGAAGCAGTTAATACCCTCTTATTTCTGGGATTTCAAAACTCTTTCTCTGCTTTGATTGGCCTGGAAAAGCATTCCCTATGCTGATGCTTAGAGCTGTGCTTGGGACTGTCCAGATAACACCTGCTATGTGAGACTCAAGAGCAGATGACTTAAAGGCCCTTTTTTTTTTTTTTTGGCAAGAACCTCTTCTTAATGGAGGTGGTTAATGACTGCAAGAGTGGCTGCCTGGTTGGGAGGAAGGCACCTCACATCCTGACTAGAAAAGGGGGCTGACAGCTGCAAAGGAATAGAGCAAATGATGAGGCAAAGTATAAATGGGGTGCTGCAGGCAGGGTGATAAACACTTACTTGAGTTTGCCTTTAGCAATACCACTGTTTTAGAGAAATTGGAAAAGATGCCTTTAGCTACAGGAGTTCCTTAGGGCAAGTATGTAATGCTGACCTTTTAACTCCACCTGTAGCCTTGAGGCTCAGTAAAGAGTGGTCATAGCTGTTTGGAATATTCCTTACAAATCTGGTAGAGGCAACCATGAAATGTGGCACTCATTGCTGCAGCATTGTTGTATTGCTTGTGTTCTGGTGAATGAGCATCTGAGACTAAAGAAGAAGTGGTGTAAAGTAGGCTGATGGAGAGAGAGGCCATGATGCCTTCTACTTCTGAAATATCCAAAGTGTCTCAAAGGAGACCCACAAAAATGTGCCGAATGTTATGCTTTTCAGTCAAAGATCTGCAAGTGGGAACTTAATTTCCTTGTTCCACCATTCCTATAACTGCTTTCTTCATCTAAGCACAGCAGAAATAATTAATTTTTCTGCTGTTCACTTGCAGCAGCACCAGCATCATTAACAAGTCAGCCCTCCTGGTAGATGTAGAGCTGTAGGCTGGTGGTACAACTGCAGTTGTTCATCCTTGTTGAGCAGGAGGCACAGGACATTCCAGGGCAATGGAAAGGCTGAAGCCAAATGTTGATGTCCAGGTTTGCTCACTGGAGCATACAGAGCTGGCGTGGGCTGGGGTTTGTCACAAGCAAACCTCCAAATGTTCTGGGCAACGAAGCCATTTCAAACATGCTGTCCCACAAAACCTYTGTCAGGTCTCAGACTGGCTGTTTCCACCTAGGTGGGAGTCTCCAAGACGTGCTGCTGGAAAATGCAAAGCTCGGGCAGTATTTCCCAGAAGAAGAGCTGAAGGAAATATTGTTACAAGTCTCCATGGGACTAAAATACATCCACAACTCTGGCCTTGTGCACCTGGATATCAAACCTAGTAAGTGTACTGCCCTCTTCCTTTGTGGAGGGTTTTCCTAATGATCCCTCAGGGGTATGACCTGTAATAAATCCTTCTAATTGGACTGATCATAGTGCTTCAAAGGGAAGAGGAACTTTCCCTTGTCTTGTGTATGGTATTGTGGTGGGATTTTTTTTCTTCTTCTTCTTTTTTTTTTTTTTTTAAATTTGTGTCACTACTGCTGCTCTAAAATTGAGCCTTCTCTGATAGTTGGCAGCATTTTACTTGTCTCATGACCTTTTTAATCCTGGCTCATGGGAAACACCTTCATCCTGGTGAAGCAAGTTGGGCTGCCAGTAAAGATGGGGACTTCCTTATTTACTGCTGTCTTGTTGCAAAACACTTGACTTGTGTTTACCTACCCTGAGGGATTAAGTTCCTGCAAAAATAGTACTGGGGTTTTCCTCTCTGCAGGTTGGGATGGTCACCTCCAGGGCAATGCTCTCTGCTGTCATACAGTTAACATTCTTAGAGTGGAGCTCTTTTCCTGCTGAAATCATGCTTTTGTCTTAGGGGGTAGAGGGAAGGAAAAGTAGATTTCACTTGGATATTTTATGCACAAGATAAAACTGCCTTATGCCAGCTGTGCTGCTGAAGAGTGAGCTGGGCAGAAAGCTGACTAATGGGTGGGAAGCATTTGTCTGGCTGCAAAGCTTAACTAGTTTGACAGGTGGGATTTTTATGAAGTTGTCAAGCTGCTGCAGCCTGACTACAGATATCACCCTATTTGCTAAACTCCTCTGTCTTGCAGGTAATATCTTCATCTGTCACAAGCTGGCAGTTTCAGGCCCTGCTGGGCAGGAGGAGAGTGACAGTGAAGATGAGTTCTCTCCTGGTGTGGTGTATAAGATTGGTAGGTTTTAGCCTATTTTACAGCTGCCTTAAGATTAGAGCTGCCCATTCCTGCTTGATTCTGCCCTGTCCTGCTGGTTGAAAAGACWTGCATGCAAAACTGATGGCATAGTCCTGAATGCCCCAATTACCTACCAGAATTAATTCCTCTAAGAAGACAAGTCATAGAAGATTCATGTGCTTCTTTCCAAGTGCAGATTTCTGAGTTAGGAGCAGRCTTGCTCTCTTGCTCAGTATTTCTTTGTTGCTCTGTTGGTGCCTATAAAACACAAGCTTTTATTGAAGAATGACTTCCRTTTGCTTCATTACATTTAATTTACTTGTTCTTTGTCTCAGGTGACCTTGGACAYGTGACATCAATAACAAACCCTCAGGTGGAGGAAGGAGACAGACGTTTTCTGGCCAATGAAGTTTTGCAAGAGGTACAACTGCTCGCAGGGCACTGGGGAGGAAGGGTGGGAGAGCAAGTGGGGAAAGGTCAGCTGTATGGCAGTTACAAGTCTAACTTGTTCCTCACTTTACCTCCTCTTTCTGCTGTCTGGTCTGGCTGTGAAATCTGCGAAATTGGCACTTTATTATGAACAGTATTAGTGTGGGTCTTGTCATGTCAATACTTCATAAGTAGCTATCATCAGGTTATTGCAACTGTTCCCCTTGAGGGATCAGTGAGACAAAACCTTTATCAGTCTGAAGACATTTGATTTGCATATCCAGCTGAGATTAAATGACTGGTAGTGATTACTGAGGAATGTTACATCCCAGACAGATGCCTTGTAAAACAAACACTGAACAAGTAGTGGTGAGAGTGAATAAACTGACTGCAATTTCGTCCCCCTGGCCAGCAATTGGAAAGGGAATCAGTATTGAACAACTGGGTTGGTTGTGTTACTCAGTTCAGGCATTTAAGTGACAGTATCTGTGCTGCAAACTCATTTAGGAACTGCTAGGCCAGTGTATCTGATGCAGTCTTCAGTTTGAGCTGGACATGGGTGGCTTACTGCCTTGTGCTGAGGGCTGGAGGGACCCTCTGCTAGGCCACCCTCTGGAGCTGCTGCAGTGATTCCAACGTGGCCTGCAAGCTCCTCATGGCTGGGTGAAAGCCACCATGCTATCATTTATAGTGGTACTGCAGCTGTCAGTGTTTTTTATGCTGCAGAGGAAACAGCTCACAGGGGGTGAAGGCAGTGCCGTAAACACACACTTGCTTGGCTGTTTCTTTTTGAGCTCATACCCCAACCCTCCTTTTCTTCGTGTAGCAGGATGTTCCTTTCTGACACTTTTCCCCTTCTCTCTGCAGCAATACTGYTACTTGCCCAAGGCAGACATCTTTGCCCTGGCACTCACGGTGGCTCTGGCAGCCGGCGCAGCGCCACTGCCTCACAACGGGGCCCTGTGGCACCACATCCGCAAAGGAAACCTCCCATCCATCCCCCAGAAGCTTCCCCACCGCTTTCTGGAGCTCCTGAAGGTGAGGAATCCTTGACAGGGTGGTGGCTTTAACACTCCTGTTACAAGCCAGCTGCAAAATTCTGAACTCCTTTGCCTTCTAGCTCATGATCCATCCTGACCCGGTGCAAAGACCATCTGCCACAGCTCTCACTAAGCATCCTGTTCTCCGTCCTTCCTGTGGAAAAGCTGTGCAGCTCCAGGAGCAGCTAAATGAGGAAAAAAACAAGACTGCAATGCTGGAAAGGTAGGGCTGCCTTGGGCATGAAGGGGAGGAGGCATGGGCACAACAATACTGGTCACCAGGGTGGTAGTGCTGGGAGACTGCAGGTGCAGGAACACCCAGGCAGCTCCTGTGCCTGGAGCTGGGAGGGTGAGGGGACAATAACAGGGACTTGCAGTGCCAGGCAGCAGCAGTGCTTCAGCTCTGGCTTGGAGGAGCTGCCTGAGTTACAGCAGTGAACTTGTGCACTCCCTGCAGCCACTGGTGGTGTGCAATAGTGAGACAACATGCAGCCTGTGGGCAGATGAGCAATTGATAATGCACTGAGATAGTGGTCTAAGCACAGAAGGAAGAGAAATATCAAGTGGTGGCAGATATCCTGTTTTCCCTTGTTTCSTCTCTTTGCTGTTGAAAACAGTGTTTTGAGGTGCTGGGATCTAAGAACTGCCCCACAACCCCTCTAAGTGCAACAGTCAGCTGGGGAATAGGATTTCTGTAGACAGAAGAGTGAATGCTCTGGAAGAACAGCAAGCACCAGGGAAGAAAGGCAGTGGAAAAGAAGCATATGCCTTTATTTAGGTATTTGTGCTGCATGAGATTGATCTAAATTTCACCATTCATAAATAGCTGAAACAGTGGAAGAAAAACTGAGCTAGGGGTTCTTCATAGTGGTTGCTAGCATGTTGCTGGCTTGATACATAGTTTTCTTTTGGTAAATCTTCAGAGCTCATCTTTTCAAGCAGAAACTCTAAAGACAGCTACAGTAATCTTCATGTCACCTCTCGGGTGAGAAGTTGCCCCTTCCAGCAATGCTGGAGTATTACAGTAACCCTCTTGTGCAAGGCTGTTAATAGTTTGCTTCAGTAGCTGATGGGGATTCATGCATGACATGGTTTTCTTCCTGTGCTCTTCCTTCCATCTCCCCCCTGCAGGGAACTTAAAGCAGCTCGTCTTGCCCAGACCCTCATGAAGGACCAAGCCTTAGGAAGTGCCAAGTTACAAGAGTCTGAAACCTCTTCTAAGCAGAAGAGCAAGCGTCTGGTGGGAGGGAAGAGCTGTCGTTCATTTAGCTTTACTCTGGGTTACTGAAATTCTGTGTTGTCCAAAGAGCTCTGACTGCTGAATGGTCCTGTGAAAGCAGAGGGTCTGCRCAGACCAATGCCCCATTTTCTCTCCCTGTCACTTTTTGTTTGATTTATTTGTTCCCCTGTTAGTTGTGATGAGATGTTGGCTGAAGAAAGAATGACARATGCTGGATCATGGGATTTAAGGCTGTCCTCAGTCTTTTACCTGTTTAATTTCTTGTGTAAATGGTCTTGCTATAGACTAATCATCCACCATGATGAAAGAATGGCATTTTCTCTACTCACTTCCCTCTTTCTTCAGTTGGGCCCTGTTATTGGTGATTTTGTGGTCTTCTCTCTTGGGCTGACTATATCTTTAGAGGGGTGATCATGGCTGTACAGGGAGACAGCATCTACAGCTGGGCACTTCCAGGAGCAASTGGGTAAAGACTAAGGCAGCCAGTTTTAGCTACACATCAGGAGCCAGGCAGGTTATACAGCAGTCCTGGAAGGCTTGGGATGCAGGTGGAGTGGTGTTTCAGTGATGGGGAACACAGAGTAAAAGAAAATACTGAAGGAGTGGAAGAAAAACCTTCTTTCAGATTTCAGCAACAGAACTTTTGTAACTGGGTATGCTTTAACGGACTGGTTAGTCCCTGATGCCTGACTTGTTTTCTGTCACTTGGTAAGGACTCCTTGTTCAAGGTAGGGGAGACARCTACAGTGTATTGGTAGCTGGGTCTGTACCTATTTCCCTTCTGCTATCTCGCACGGGCGCAGCTGTGTAAGCTGTAGCCTTTCAGCGAAGATGATGGCAATTAGGAAGGGCTTTTTCAGGTTTTTGGAGTKGCCCATGTTAATTGTGGTATGTATTTAATATATGAGATCTCATGCACCTTCTCCCCTCCCCGCTAAATGTAATTTTGGGGGTCCTTGCAGCTCGTGTGCGTTGGTTGGATAGAGCTGTTATGAGGCAGAGCGTGAGCTTAGTACCTCGGTTATTTCCAGGTTTTACTGGTTTGTTTTACGATGTTCCGCATGCTGGCTTTTAACTGTTAGATCGTTTCGTGCGAATAAAGGTTTTATCTTTCTTTTAAACCGATGACGGAGTGATGGAGTTTTGTTGATTTTTTATTTTTTTTCCCTTCCGCGAGTTGTGTGTCCCCGGTGGGGCGAGGGGAGCCGGGACAGGCACACACCCCGCCGTTCGTGTCCCGGGGATCGGGCGCGTTTCCGCCCGGAACCTCCTCCCGCCTGTCCCTTTCCTCTTCCGGCGGCGGGGAGGTGCGGAGGGCGCGGGGTCGGGTGGCGGGGCCGGGCCGGGGCTCCCTCGGGCGCTGCTTCAGCCCTGCTTTTCCCTCCGCAGGCTCGGCGACAGCATGTGGCGGCGCCCGGCGTGGCAGGTAGGGCCGGGGGGCCCGGGGGGCGGGCTGCGGCCGCGGCGGAACTCGGGCCCGGCTGCCCTCGGGAAGGGCCGGTGGGGCAGGGGGAGAAGCAGCTGCAGCCCCTGGAACTCTCCCTCCGCACTCGGAAGCAGCGCTCGCCGCTGCCCCGGGAAGGGGAAGGGAAGGGGAGGGGCGGACGGAACCGAGCGCCCCGGAACCCTCCCCGGACAGCGCCGGCTGTGGGGCCGCGCTTGTGCCCCGCTCTGCTGGGCCGGGGCCKCGGCGCTGGGTCTGCTCTTGGGGACAAAGTGTGAGGCTCATTTCCCGAAACCCGTGGAAGAGCTGTTTCCCAGTTCCTGCACAGGGACCTATTGCACAAGTGTTCCTGGGCTTTTCCCCTCCGTTTGTTGCAGGATGTGCGGTCGTCAAGGCAATTTCATTACTTTTTTCCCATTTGCAGTACTGAGAGTTTTGTGTCCTTGATATGCTGCTGTTGTTTTGTTCTTAATTTTCGCTGGGAACAAAGGTTGGCATTGCATCCACTGCTCATTCCAGTGGATGTATRCCCAAAATGTACATCCCTTGTTTATCTGAAGTGAAGCAGAAAATTGTYAGAACTCTCAGACCTGTTTGTTTCCAAAGCCCAAACCTTCACTCTGCTACAAACCCTCCTCCCTTCCTATTTATGTATTACAGAGAAACAACAGTAACTGCATGTCTCAAAAATAATTGCTGTAGGTGTGCTCTAGGGCTGCGCTTCTTTCTAGGCAACTTTTGAGCTTTGATTTAACCAGATTTTCTTTAAATAATCTTACTAGCTTCACAAGCTAATCTTACTAGCTTCAGCTTGGCTGAACAGATTTCTTTCCTCAGTTTCCCCATTAGTTATCAGGAAAAGAACATACTTKCAGAACCTCTGCAAGTGCTCAGAAAATGAGGTGTAAAGGCTTGTGAATGCTGTTCAGAGTCTGTGTCCTGGAAACTCCAATTTCTCTGTTCCTTCAGGTGCTGCGCCAGTTTGTAAGACATGACTCTGATACAGTTACCTCATTGGTACTTGAAAGATGTAAGTAGCTCCTGAGATCCAATTTAGTTGTTACTCATTGTGTTTATTTCAATTTTGGAGTTCTGATATGTGGTAGGAGAGAAACGGGTAGGAATGGTAGCTCCTCAGTGTAGCAGGTAAGAAYGTGTTGTTTCAAGCACACTGACTCTTGAGTGGCTTTCTGTCTGGTCTTTGTCAGGACAAGCAGCAATTTAGGGGGAAAATGAAAAAGCCCTGCGAAGAACTACCCCCTGTAAAGGGCAGGTAGTTGTAGCTGATCTGTGGCAGTGGTTTGGCTCTGCTGGTTGTCGTGGTTTCTAACACCTGCATTCAAGTTTCTTGTGTGCTTGTTTCTTACACTCCTGGATCACTGGGGGACTTGGGTGGGTGCTGCTGCCTCAGCCTGGTTTGCTCCAGGTGTACATTTCAGCCTTTACAGTTCAGATCACATGCTCATTGTGCACAAATGATGCTTCTCTGACCTCTTCCAGTTCTCCTTGAACATGGAACAGGGATAAACTTGTCTGCCTAGGCGTGGCACCTGTGTAAGAACTAATGACTGTCTCGTTCAGAGGCTGGAGCATAATATTGCAACTTTGTTTCAAAGGTGCTGCTGTGCATTGTTTTATCATTAGGAAATAAAAGTTACGTAAATGCAAATTAGTCTCAAGTGACCTATGGATGTGTCTGTGGAAAAGGTGACAAAGAAATAGAAAGAATAAAGAACTGACTTTCTGAATCAGTTGTTTCATAGTGATAATGACCGTGTAGGCACAGTCAACCGTTTGCTGGGGCCTGAAAAAGCCAAAAGTCACAAGAGCTTGAAAAGTGGGTAGGAGGTGCAGAAAGTTGTGATCCTGGCCCTTGTCAAAAGCTGCTGATTGATGGCTTACATGATTAGAAATGTCATAGTTCACCTGTATGTGTCATTGGTCTCTCTTGTTTCAGCCATRAATCGTGTTCAGCTGCTTGGTCGGGTTGGACAGGACCCCATCATGAGGCAAGTGGAAGGAAAAAATCCTGTTACCATATTTTCTCTTGCAACCAATGAGATGTGGCGGACGGGAGATAGTGAAGTGAGCCAGGGAGGTGAGTCTGCACGAGCAACATGTCCCAGGTCATGGCCATATGGCCAGCAGCACCACGCCTGTCAGTCTCTTGGGAAAGTTCCTTTGGAGATACTGGTGCTTTTGTGTATCTCTTGCTGATCCCCAGCAGTATATATGAAGAGAGATTTGCCTTCTTACCTTGGGAGGAGAGGAGAGAGTGTTGAGTGGGCAGTTTGTCGCTGTTGGGGTTTGTCAGGCACGTAGCAGGTTCTGCACTCTTACTTGTATTTCAAGGCAAGGAAAACAAAGGAGAAAATTTTCTCATTGATGCTGTCATCAGTTTGCACATGCAGATATCTCATTTTCTTCAACTTCTATTCAGTGTGGAGTGTCTGGGGGGAAAAAAAATAATAGCATAAGCACAGTTTTCCAGGAAAAGYAGTGTCTTGGTTTCATCTGTGCTTCTGCACAAGACTTTCATTTGTACACAGASAAGTGGAACATTGAGTTCTGGAGTGAAGTGGGAGGTGGAGTGCTAGTATACTTCTGTTTTCAAATCACTTTGGTATTTTAAAATTATGAAATGTGTTGAAACTAATTTCTGAGTCTTGTATCAAAAAAAGGATTTGGCATCCACCTCTATTATTTCTGTGTAATTTAGGTGATATCAGTCAGAAGACAACGTGGCACAGGATCTCTGTCTTCAGACCGGGCCTCAGAGATGTTACCTATCAGTATGTGAGGAAGGGGTAAGTGAATARCAATTAAGGATTTAATGCCTTAATGAGGGATTAGTGTAATAATTATGGTGACCAGGAGCTTACTWAGATACAGGTGCCATAAAACAAGTGAGCAGATCAGCTACAGAGAGCTGATACAAATGTCTCTGTACTCTGAATCAGATTCTGAGTTCAGCCTTTTCATCGGGACCT